GGGGGAGGGGGGAGGGAGTACGCGAGTGAGAGCAGGCAAGAAAAGAAAAAGAGGCAGGACAATTGAGAATCCTTTAGAAATGAAGGTTTTGCTCCCATCACCCAGTAAAGAACCCAGAGCAGCTTGTGTTTCAGCTAATGGCAGAAATACTGAATGAGTAATGAAAGAAGAGCCAGAGATAACAACCACAGCATTAAGATCAACTAGAGAAATGAGGACTGCAGTATTTTTTCATATTTTCTCTTTGCTCATTGCATTGATTATATTTATACATGTTAACTATTTTCTTCTTTCTCTTCCCCACATTTATCTTATATACAAGCTGTTGGAAGCAAACTTTTATAAGGTGGTCCTTAGAACATTCAGAGAAATTATGATGGAGTATATAATTAACATTAGCTAGCAATGATGGTTGATGCTATGCATTGATTTTGAGCAGCAGGTAAGAACTTCATTTTTATAAAGGAAAGCTGTAACTTATTAGGTAGAAAAAATTTTTTTGTTCGTTGAAAAGAATTCCAAATGTATTTAAAAGCATTCACATGGAAACTGAGTAGCCAAAGGAGTGAACTATGCCAGTTATTTACTTTCCATAAGCTCCAAATGGACTGGCTCTCAGCTTCAAAACTACCCTTCCTTGTTCTACTTTGTGACAAAGAATGTGGATTGTCTAAATGCTCTTCTTTGCCAAGTGGGCATGCTAAGGCTTTGTCAGTAGAGGGTGCTAGAGGGTTATGGAAGTAGAAAGGACTTCCCTACAGTTGGGTGGGTTTCCTGTCCCTTTTTCCCAGCTTTGGGGTCTATCTGCACCTTGAGGCAAGGGACAGGGGGTGGGGTGGCTCCCGTTTGCCAGTACTGGTCAGCAGTTCCCCTCCAGTTCTTACCAGCCCTGACCAGATTTACTATGGCCCAGCTATAGTCAGGACGACCCAGGAGACTGCCATCTGTTGAGCTCAACTAACATACTCAACAATGTTTTGCCTTTTTTTTTTTTTTGGTACCGGGAATGGAACTCGGGACCTTGTGCTTGGGAGGCAGGCAGAGGCACCGAGCTAAATCCCCTGGGCCTAATTCAACAATGTGTGAATGCCAGTCACAGGGTGGGGGAATCCCCCTTTCAAGTTTGCTCCTTTCTTGAGAACACACCCTCAGCTGTGGGGTATTCTTTATCTTTCTGAGTAGCTAACACTTTCAATAGTTAATAATTCTTTATATTAAATTGTCCCAGTAGAGACACTGGCTGTATTTCTATGAACTAAAATGTTACTATTACTTCTTTTATACTAAGTACTGATGATATTCTGTTGGTATCATAACATTCAAATCCCTTTGCTATTATGTTAGAAAAATCATTATCAGAAAAAATTATTTTACGCTTATTTTATGTCAAGCATTATTCTAAGCAGTTTATTTGTATTGACTCATTAATCCTAACAATCACCTTACAATAACATATTGCAAGTATCTTTCATGCCAAAAATACAAATCCTCTAGCTGGAATTATTCTTTAATATAAAAACTAAACTTGTGTAATAGTGTTTGCTGTGAAGTTCATGATTGTTATATTAATGCATACTATGACTCTGCCTTTTTAAAATCTACATTCTTACCATTTTAAAAAATTAAGCTTCGTGGCCTTCATCACAACATAATAGTGAATTATCGTTGCTCATTAACCGCTACAAAATGTCTTTTTGACTTTGTTTTTTGAGACAGGGTCTTGCTATGTACTTCAGGCTGGCCTTGAGCTCACCATGTAGCCCAGGTTGGCCTCCAACTTGCTGGGATCCTCTTGTCTCACCCTCCCAACTGCTAACAGGCACACACCCATCATACTTGGCTTAGAAAGTCTTTACAACAAATTCCTGACTTCTCACTTCTGAAGAGCAGAAGAGAGAAAATTTTTTTTTTAAAAATTAATCCTAAAATGTAAGTGGAGGTAATATCAACTGTGTTTATTCTGTCTGTCTCAGTGGCTAACTCAATACAAATTCACTAGTACTAGTCCTACAACTATACGAAAAACAGTCAAAAGACTAAATGACCAAGAACCAATCTATATTTTATTTGTAAAAATAGTCAAATATTATACCTATTTTACAAGTGAGCAAACTCAGGTACAAAGAAATTAACTTGTCCAATTAGTGGTAGAGTAGAAATATGAACTCATGCCATCTGGCTCTACAGTATATAACCCCTTACAGACTTCTGTTGAGAGCTATGGGTAGGAGACAGAGCTTGCTAAAACTTCCTTACTAGGTACACTATTACTATTCTTGCTTTATAGGCAAGAAAATTAAAATTGGTTCAAAGTCACATAATTGATTAAATGTTAAATATAAGGTTGATTCCTGTCAAATATTTCTGGTGAAGGACATTTAAAGCACGTATCAGGTACAGAGAGAAAGTATACATCTTATATGGTTTAATACAGTAGACAGAATAAACAGTTATAACGTTAACTTTGCCCGCCATATGCACTATGAGGTTAAAATACACCTACCTGCAAGGAGGTAGGACCATGGAGTCTTTCACAAGTACAGATCCAGAAAGCAGGATATACCAGCATCTGGCAATAGTCTCTGAACTGTTTAAATAAATACGTAAGTAAGTACACATGCTCACATGTAGGCAGATATTCTGAAAAAACTGCAAGTCATTAAAAATTAAGCAATAATGCCTGGAAATTTGGGAAATTCAGCACAATGCCTAAAGTATTTATATCTGCACATAATTTAAAATTTCATAGGCTAAATGAGTGTCTAGTAGCCAGATTTAAATAATTCTAACTTAAAGCCACTTTAAGCTATTTTAAAGGACTTGCGCTTTATGATTAATTTTTTTCTAAATCATAAAACCACTAAGCAGAACTTTTGCCTAATGTTGTATAATCTTTTATGCAACTCAATTACTTTTACCAAATGCTCTAGTTTTTCAGATTTCCCTTTTCAGTATTCACTTGCTAGAAGTTAACACTAAAATGTTATGTTGGACAGTAAAATTCTAAATTTTACCTTTGTTCAAGTTTATACTCATTAATACGCCTTTTAAGTCCTAATAACCAGGCACAATGATAAAAACACTTAAGGGAAAATTATACATTTTAATTAAGAAAAACATCCCTCAAAACTTCCTTCATTGTAAATTTGTAAAACCAATGAAACGAAACTTACAGACACAGTAATTTCTAAAGAAGATCTTACTCATCTCTAAGATAAAGGAAATAATTAATCAGCCACTCAAAAGAAAAACGTTCTTAAGATGTCTTTTATTCCTAGGCTACACCAGGCATCATAAAAACCCAGGTCTCTCATGTCAACCTTCATCTCCAAGTCTTAAATGTCCACTGGGTTCTAGATAGATTAATTTCTGACTAATCTTCCTCCTAACCCTCCTCCAGTCCTAACATATATCCACTGACTCTCTAGAACTCACAGTCTGACATCTGGAAAATCCCTTACACTCTCATAGGGTTCTTTCAATACTTTCTGAGGATGCTGCTTCCTCTACTACTTTAAAATGGTAGATGTTTTCTCTCACACATTCCTCCTACCAATAGAGCTAGGGACAAGTTAGTGTTCTCTCCTTGTACCTAATTAATTCTAAACCATTCTTTTCCTCTCACTAAAAATTACAGCTTTGAACCTTAAAACACCAGATCATATCCTTTGTGGTCTCTGACACAACCAATTACAGACAGCAAGGGTCAATCCTTTCATTTCTTATAGATTTTAATTCTTGGCTTATAAATACTTCAATATTATTTTTGACAGATTTTTACAATGACATTAATATTAATCCTTCTGATACGATGAATTCCCACTTTCTTGATCTCTTCTTTAAAGATCTTACCCTCTACTTCATTTCAGACATGCACGTTCATGGTCAGTCACCAGAAATCTTGCATAAGCAGTAACTATACACCTTCAGGATCTGAAGTCCAAGCTTCCACTCTTCTCATTCTATTATCCAGACTTTCATAATTTATTTGTCCTCTAATGATCCTACTATCTCTTTTCTGTACCTAACATAAACTCCATATTAAATTACCATTACCATTCTTTTGCAAACACTCCCTCAACTGTTCTTATTCTCATGTTATTGTACTTAGTAGGCTAGATAAATTCAACTTCCTGCCTATTCCACTTCTATCCCAGCAGGAGAACGCAGCTGATGAGAAAATACAACCATCACGTCTAGTCTTTTAGAGCTGCCTAGCAACCATAATTATCTCTGGGTCCATTCAGTCCACTCTCTTCAAATATCAGAAATCTTTTTCCTCATCCAAACTCTCAATTCATTACCTTTATTCCTTAGTCACTGAGAACATACAAACTATCAGAAGAAAACTTCCCCTAACAGCTACCACATATGTCACACAGCATTCTCAACTGCATCAAGACATCTACGTATACTCTCTGTCTGCCAAAAACAAAACAAAACACAATGAAATGAAACAAAACAAAACAAAACTTTCTATGGGAAGACAGATTAATACTTTAACAGTGGCAGTTAATAAAAAGGATCAAGATACTAGAAATGGGACCAAATCTAAAATAGGAAAAAAATTTTTAATATGCTCAAGGAAAAAAAAAGGACAAGACAGAGATCTTGACCTAAACACTGAGATCTATAAAAAAAGAAATGGAAATCTAGAACTAAAACATACAACTAAAAATGAAGGATTCAAATGGAGCTTAATATAAAAGATTAAGAACAATAGGACCCAATCTGTGAATCAGAAAATAAGCCACAGAAAACAGAAGAACAGAGAAAAAAGGGTGGAAAACATGGAAATTGGTATAAACAAAGTAGGGATAAAATGAAGGTAAGTAAAGAAGGGGAAACAGAATAAAGAAAGAAGCAATAACGAAAAAACATTGGCTAAGGAATTTTAAAAACTGGCAAGAAATTCTAAATCACAGAATTAGTTTTACAGACTCTCAACAAAATAAATCCGAAAGAAATCACACCTAGAAACATTAGACACAACTGCTGAGAAGCAAAGAAAAAAATATCTCAGTAGTAGCTGGAGGAAAAAACATGTTAACTGCAAAGGAGCAACAATGACGTTGACTGCTGACACTTCAACATATGCAGAAACCAGAACACGATAAAACATTTAGAAAAAACCTGCTAAGCTAGAATTCTATATGCATCAAAAAATATGCTTTTTAAACATTATTGTGAAGAATAAAAGATAATCAAATTTGCAGATTGGAAGATATTTATAAAGATGTACTTACAAAAAATGTCAATTTTAAAATAATTTAGCTTCAATGGCCAAAGCCCACAGCTATCCAATTGGTTTTTATGAGTATACATGTGTGAAAACGAAGTATGAAACGTCAAGTACGTAGAATAAGAGAGGGCATAACTGGCATGAAATAAACCAATAAGCAAAATACAGAGAAAAAAAAATATATGTATGTATAAGCTTCAAGTGGTCACTGTAGTATACCAGGAGAAAAAAGAGTTTTGAAATAAATGGTGCTGGGTCAAATGAACATCTACAGGGATAAATAATAAACCATGTCAATTATTAAATCTAAAAATTTTCAATTTTAGAAAACTTGTATTTAATCCTGAGCTTCACACTTTCCCAAGCTTTTTAAAACCAATATTGAAAATAAGCAAATGGCACTTTTTATCATTCATTTTAAAATGTGCTCAAATTAGAAAACTATACAGTTCAGTACCATATTTCCCAAAAGACCAATGCATGCTGTTACAAAATCATGCATGGATAAATGATTCATTCAAAGTGCAAGATAAATCAATGTACCTCTCCCTTCCCCCAGTATTGGAAATTGAACTCAGGGGTACTCTACCACTAGGCTACATCCTCAACCCTTTTTTAATTTTGATTTATTTATTTTTTGGTACTGGGGATCGAACTTGGGTCCTTGTGCTTGCGCAGCAGGTGGCGAAACCACTGAGCTAAATCCCTGGCCAACCCTTTTTATTTTGAGACAGGGTTGCACTAAGTTGCCCAGGCTGGCCCAAAACTTTTGATCCTTCTGCTTCAGGTTCCCAATTAAAAAGACCAATAGTTTTTAAGCCAATAGAATATTAATAAATTCACTGATTAAAGTCTCAGATTCCATGTTGTAACTAACATATAAGAAACAAGTTTTAATACTGTATCAAATAAGAATATCTAAATTATCTGAAAAGGCTACTAAAATACTAATTTTCCCAACCTCTTCTCTGGATAAGGTCAGATCTTCATTTAAAAAAATATACCACAGTAGATTGAATAAAGAAGGTATGAGAGTCTAATGTCAACCAGGTATTAGATTTGCAAAATATGACTTTTTTCATTTTGAAAGAAATGGTTTCTCACAAAATACGCAATGTTATTTGTGTTAGCTTGTAATTAATGTATTTATCTTAAAATAGTGAATATTTTTAAATTAAGATGAGTCTTGACTTATACCTCACATCATAAACAAAAATCAATCCTAAAATACACTGCAGAGCTAAATGTGAAAAGCAAAACACCACAGCTTTCAATGCAAAGACAGAGAAACATGTCTTCACAAACTTGAGGATGGGAAAGATTGGGTTTTTTAAACAGGACATGAAAAGCAGTCATCACAAGGGGAAAAGCTGAGAAAGTTAGAAATTTCCTTAAAAGATGTCATCAACAGAGTGAAAAAGAAAAAAACTGCACTGTGGGTGAAGTATTTGCAGCAGGTACAGTGTACCCAATAAACAATTGATTCAGAATTCAAAAAGAATTTTTACAAGTTCATTGAAACGAGACAACCCAAATGACAAATGGTCAAAAACCTGAATCACGATTTCGGGTGTCCAAAGTCCACAAAAGCATGAAAATCATTTTTCATCATTAATAAGAAAATGTAAAATAAAATCACAGTAAGACAATGAAATAATCAGCAAAACGGCGAAAATTCCAAAACAAACAAACAAAAAACCCTTGACAATTTTAAGTGTTGTAAAAGACGTAAAGCAATTGGAACTTACTATATACAGCTAATAGTTGCTAAAACTGGTACATATAAAATTGCCAGAATCTTATAAATTTGAACATACAAACTTCCAATAATTCTATTCCTAGGCAAATGCCCAACAGCAATCAATAAAGAAGGGCATAAAAAAAAAAGAACAAAAATGTCAGCAGCAATTATTTACAATAGTAAAAAACTGGAAGTAACCTAAGTATCTATTAACAGTGGAAGAGATAAAAACTTATTTTCAAGTTCGATCCCCGGTAACCCCCCCAAAACACACAAAAAACCCTGTTACTTTCACAGAAATGTATATCATACAGCAGTGAAAAAGAACAAACAAAAAGCATTAAAGAATCTTGACACATTTTTTTTTTTGGTACTGGGAATTGAACTCGGGACCTCGTGCTTGCGAGACAGGCACGGTGCCACTGAGCTAAATCCCTAGCTTAGACAGATATATACTAAGTGAAAAAAGCCAGACCAAAAGATTCCATCTCTAAGAAGTTCAAAATGAGGCAAAAATAATCTATGGTGACAGAATTAGAACTGATTATCTTTCCAAAAGAGAGCTGACTAGGGCTTTGTGGTGAGCTTGGTATGCTCTATATTTTTATTAGTAACACTAGTTACAAAGGTGCATATGTTTATTAAAATTTGCTTTACTGGACACTTTTTGTGTGTTCTATGCATGTTATACTTCACAGTTTAAGAACGTATTTCAATTTGTTCTATAGAAACCACTCTAGAATAAAATAAATTTCCAGGCTAAAAGTAAAAAATTAAGCACAAAGGTTACAAATTTAAGCTAATTATGGACATACTTACCAAAAAAGAATTTGATTTCCACTGTATCTCTCATAGCGTGCTCTTGCAGACATTAATCTAACAATTTAAAAAAGGAAAGTCTGTGAACATTATTGTGTTTAGAAAACTGTTATAATTAAATCAACAGAAAATAATCAGCTTTACAATACATTTTCATTAAACTTCACATTTAGAAATTTTCATAAAAGCAATTAGGTAATATTAAGTGGCATCAATTATAATTCTCATATATACATTATAAAGCCTGTCAATTTACACAAAATGTTCGTTTGTATTGAAAAAAATATCATTTATCTGGTTTACTACTGCATCCTCAGTGAGAACAGGCATGCATATACAAAAAAAAATCTCTCTTGAACATATACATTTACTTGCATTTTAACTCTCTACTTTCCAGTTTTTTCTTCCTTCCTGATGTACACATGTGATACAGACTAACACATGAATTACGTTATACAGATCACAGAATATAGTAAATCCAAAATAATTATATTGCAGCAACCTGGTCTATAATCAGAGACTTCAGCAATATTCATGAAGAGCAACTGGATAAATGGTTCTTGGAAAGAAAACATGTTTAATTAAAATGTTACACAAAAATCACAACTGTTAGTACTTTACAGCATTCTAGCATGTTTTTACAAATATAATCACAAAAAGGTAAGATAAGCAAGTCAGAAAAGGAAAAGGAAGCTCAGAGTTTATGGGGTCCTGTCCACAGGAATTTATACCCACTCAAGGGTCTTGCTCCTTCCACCTTAGTATGATAGCATGCTCATCTTAAGCATTTGGCATAATGTCAATACAAACTATGAAAATAGATTATGTTTTTACAAAATCAGCACACACTGAGCATTGTGCTTTGCTTCAGATACTTAATTCTTGAGACAAATATACCATTACTCTTACTTTATAAAAGACAAACTGCCACTTAAATAATACAGCACTTCTTGCTTAAGATCCCACAGCTCAGAAAAACAAGTAAGAAACGCAAATTCCTGTGAAACCCTAACCCCGGCAACTACCTATCCAAACTCATTTTCCACAACTTCCTCTTCTCACTATGTTCCAAATATCAAAGCCCTGTTTCTTGTCCCTTGCTCCTTCCTGCCATCCTTAGAGGTCTTCACTGACCATCTAAACTCACACAGCTTCCTAATCAGTTTACTTCACATCATCACGCTTTACTGTACTCACAGTACTTATCATTAAGGGATATTATGTACAATTTTTAATGTCAGTGTTTTTTCCCAACTCCAAAATCATCTCCCACCAGAATACACACTCCAAGAATCTAGGGATCTAATTTCATTTGTATATTCCAAGTGCTTACAACATTAGCAAGAATATAAATAGCGTTTAACAAATATTTGGTGAATAAATGGAGTAATTACACAGCATAAGCTCTTAAACATGCACCGTACTTACCTAAGCTGATGTTCCCTGAGATTTGATAATATTTCCATTCCATGAAGATAAGAATAAATAGTATTTAAATCCTGTGGAACAGAAAGGTTTTTAGTTATTTTTAAAATCACCCTAAAAATGTTTCCCCATAAATCTGTTTTTAAGCATGCAAGTATTTATTATAGAGCTGTTAACTGTGAAAGAGGCATGAAACCTCTGGATCACAAAAGATTTGAAAGATTAAGGAAGAGTACCCTCTATTCACACAGGAACTCTTCTTGCGAGGCAGGTGGCAGAACCACTGACCTAAATCCCCGGCAGGAACTCTTCTTAAACGTGAACAGTGGCCTCTATTCACCACCACAAACTCAAAACTCATTATTGCATATGAAAATATATGAATTCTCCCTCCCTCCCCTCTTCTCTTTTTCTTCCTTTGGTACTAAGGATTGACTCAAACACACTACCACTTAGCTACAGCCCCAACGGTTTTGTAAAAATTTAAAATTCAGATTCCAGAGTTCATAACAGCCAATTAAACAAGCAAATATCTCTGTTAAAGCCTTACTAAAATGACAGTGAAAAAGATTTTTAAGTGTCTAAAAGACTACATTAAACAAAACCACAGTAAATGACAAAGGTCTGCAAAGTTCTGGAAAATATCAAACGAAGTAACTCATGTAAATTTTACTTCCAAAGGTGGCCACAAAGCTATTTCTACCCTGAGAATATCAATGTTGGAAAGAAGCCCAAGTTGGTTTTAGGGAGAAAGCCCACATGGCATAGCACCTAGTCACCAGGTATGTGATGCCATCTTAGGCCAGCCTACCTACCACCTGAATGGAATTAAGAGAATGATTCTAGTTGAATCAACCACCAGCTAAAACCTGCTGAAGGGAGACAACGTAGTTTAGGAAAAAAGCCTGGGAGAAACAGAAATGGGCAAACTGTGTGAAGATTTTTTTCAATCTATGCTAACAACAACAACAAACCAAATACAGAAAAGAGACACTGAAAAACCATGACAACGTAAAACTGGTGCAGGGAGCTGAGCGTGGCGGTGCAGCCTGTGATCCCAGCACTCGGAAGGCAGAGGTAGGAGGATCGCCATGAGTTCGAGGCCAGCCTGGGCTACATGGTGAGTTCAAGGCCAGCCTGAACTACACAGTGAGATCCTGAATCCTTATCAAAAACCTCAAAAACCGTAATGGTCATCAGCACATAAGCAGTTGCTCAGAGCCAAGACGTCAAGCATTGTATCTTTCGTATAAGCGCAGATCCATCTGGGCATGGTGGCTCACACCTGTAATCTCAGCACTTGGAAGGCTGAGGCAGGAAGATTGCTGTGTGTTCAAGGCCACCTTGGGCTACATAGTGAATTCAAAGCCAGACTAAACTACAAAGCAAGACCCTGGCTCGCTCAAAAAAATAAACAGACAAACAAACAAACCACCCCACAAAAAACAAGAGCAGATCTACAGAAAGTGCGTTTCTTCACCTACCTGGGAAGTTTCAATGACTATACAAACATGCACAATGCTAACACAAAAGTCAATGTGATACTAATACACTTTCATTGAGCCAAATTTGCGGACACGTGAAATCAAATTAGAATTCTCTAAAACTCTTTACACAATTTAGACCTTTAGTAAAGGAAATGATGTAAAGATGAAATACATAGAACAGCAAATTATCAAATAATACTGCTGACAATTTAAAATAGGAGAAAAAACTTTAAAACTAAAAAATTAGAAAATCCAAGATGTGAAAAGGTGTACTAAAGGGATTGATTATGGATAATTGCATAAGAATTTGACTTTCATAATCATCATACTCTGAAGTCTTACACTGCAATGGAATACCTGCTTGCTTTAGGGCATGACTCTCTTCAGAGAATACTTTCACATTAACTTTCTACATAGTAATGGTCATTCTCAAATTCTGATTCAAAGCAATGGACATGCGCATTTCCTGCTAGATTTTCCCACTGTCTGTGCCATGCTTCTACACTGTTTTGGGTAGGCAGAAATCCAGCTCAGATGCACTCAGGTGCAGATCACTAGGTCTGAACTTGCAAGCTTCCTACCTCAGCCTCCCAGAGTGTTAGGATTACAAGTGTGTGCCACTTCACCCAGTTAGGAGATAAATTTTTAAACTGAAGTTTTCCTCATTGACTTATCATGTGGCAATCCACTCATACAAAATTTTCAATAAGTGCACTGGTTTAATAGAAAAGAAGTTTTTATTGTAACATTTCAAAATTAACTTTTAGAAGCCTTGATTGCACCTAATTCCAAGTCTGTCATGAGTTTGGGGATTCAGATATCTATTTTCTTCTGTGTAAAGCCTAACACAACTTTCAAGTAAGTGCTTACAAAGTATTTCACTTTTTCCAGTGATAACATATAAATGAACAGATAAATTCTAATATTTTCAGCTGCAATAGGGGTATGAATTATAAATATGTGATAAAGAAAACAAATAGTGGGGACAGTTTTGAAAGTTCAACCATTAGCCAAAGTGAAGCAAACCCAAGTTTTTCTATGTTAGGTTGAGGGGAAATATTAGAAGTTTAATTTCCTCAACAATCAAATCCCTAACTAATAATGGTATTAATGCATTTTGTAACAGTGGAGGACCTCTATTCCTATCAACAACTGTCTTCAGTTCAGGTCACAAAGCTTGACATCTTTTTATTCTCTGATGAAGCATTTTTTAAAGGCACCCACAGTGCTACGTGTAAAGGGGTAGATAATGAATAGAATGGAAAATGCCTTGATCTTCTAACCAAAAGCCTCCTCAACCCCTTGAATTCGGCTGCTGTGGCGGGTGTGTGTGTGTGTGTGTGTGTGTGTGTGTGTGTGTGTGTGTGCTGGGATGGAACCTGGAACCTCACACACTGGGCAAGTACTCTGCCAGAGCCATCCCCCCAGCCATCCCCCAACACATACATACCTCCCTCCCTCAACAGGAATTAGGATTTCAGGACTGCAGCTTTCAGGATATTAACATTCAGGATTACGGTATTTGGGACAGTGCTTTGAGATTATGATCAGTACTGTACAGGAATAAACTCATGACCACTAATACATACCACCCAGAAGCAGCTGGCTTTAACATGACACACTCTTCTAAAAACATAGCTGAAGTTTTAGTATGGTGACAATATGAAAAAATGGGACTAACATTTTTCAGGATGCAAAGTATAGTTCAAATCGGGACTTGTATATGGTGCTACACGGCAGGAAGGATACATGGGTCCACGAAAGCAAAAGTCACTCTCATCATTATTTCCAATGAGCCGCTAACGGCTCTATGTTTCCCATCCCTACAACTGTGGGCTCTGCAGGTTTGGAGGTCCTGATTCCAATGTTTTGTTTTGGTACCGGGGATCGAACTAGGGACCTTGTGCTTTCAAGGCAGGCGGCAGAACCACTGAGCTAAATCCCCCGGCTCATCTAATGAGTTTTTTCTATACTCTTGTCAGGGGACAATGCATGAGTCAACTCCAGGTCCTAAGAACCAGGAGGCGGGAGGAGTTGTCATTTTGGCAGTGCTAACTGATCCTTATCGCAGGGAGTGGCAGGGCTGCTTTTATTTAATACTAACAAGGAGGTATATGTGTAGAACCCAGATGATCCACTTGGTTACTTTTACCTTGTTGCAACTGTAAACAGATAGACACAGAAATATTAGCCTGAAAAGGATATCATTACCAAGGGTACAGACATTCCAGGAAAAAAGGTTTGAATGGTACCATTAGATAAGACACTGAAAGTAAGGAGAAAAATTAACTGTACTGCAGGAGACAGAGGAGATGCACTAGTTGCAACCCTGAGATCAGCCATAAAAATAGGGACTACAGTTCTTCCCACTGTCATCTCTTGTCACTTCTCATAAAAAGAGGTTTGGGGGACCATGAAGAAGATGTTCCCTACACTTTGAACCTGCATGAATATGTGACTCTGTGTAAACTCCAATGGCCTTGAAAATGGGCCTCTCAGGTCTCTAACTACAGGGACTGTCATTGACAAAGGCCCATTGCTGGTGCCTATAATTCATTATCACATTTGATGGAGGCCAAGGTTCTCATGGAATACTCCCAAACAATGATTAAGCCTATACAGATACTAAGGCAAGCCTGTTCTGGGAGACAGAACTACTCTGATGGGCTCAAAGATTTCCCACATACCTTGACAAACTTCACAGAACTACACCGCAGTCTAAGGCTCTTCCATTCAACTTTCTTTCCCTCTATCCTTTACAAGAATCACACTAACAATAACTGATAACGTGAAATAGGAGGAAAAGGTCTAAAGGGGCAGGGGAGCTGGGAGGGGTAGGGGAAAGGAAAAAATATGAGAAAAGGAAAAAAATGAAAACAAACTCTTTGTAAATAGGGAAGGGTGGAGGGGGTGAAGGGCGCATAGGGGAATGGGGAAAAAATAAGAACCAAGATACATCCTGTAAAGGTACAAGATCTCAATGATGAATGTAACTGCTGTATACCTAAAATGTACCAATGAACTTAATGGGGAAAAAAAAAAAGAATCACACTAACATCCTGGTCTGACTGCTTTTCCAGCTCCCCTCCATTTTCACTCACAGGCATTTCCCCTAATAAATCTCCTGCATGTCTAATGCTGCCTTGACATCTGCTTCTCCATGGGACCACATTAACATGTTTTGAAGCATTCGGTACAAAAAGCCTTCTATACATTTTCTGCATTTATTTCTAAGTATTTAAGATTGTTAAGGCTTTGAAATGCTATTTTTAAACTGAGGGTTTTTTGTTGATGGTTTACAGAAATAAATCAATTCTACATATTAAGGTTTTTTTTGTTTTTGTTTTTTTTTAGGTACTGGGGAATCGAACTCGGGTCCTTGCGCCTGCGCAGCAGGCAGCGAAACCACTGAGCTAAACCCCCGGCCCCCTACATATTAAATTTGAATCCAACAATCCTGCTAGTAAATGCATTTAGTTCCCATAGTAACTTCTTTTGGATTCTCAAAATATACAGTACCATCACCTATAAATAAGTACAGTATTATCCTTCCTTTCCAATTCATCTACATTTTAATCCTTTTTCTT